TTTTTTTTTTTTTTTTTTTTTCCTGTTTCCCGGTACCGGGGATCAAACTCCAGACCTTGCATTTAGGAGGCGGGCAGTGGAACCACTGAGCTAAATCCCCAGCTTTCATTTTATTTTTGAAAATTATTTCTTCTTACATCCTCTTCCCTACCCTTCCTCACCCCCCCACCAGAAATTCTTGAGTGTTTGGACAAAATCCCCGAAGGCCCCGATATGGGGGTGCTGGCCCAGGTCCCCTCCCCTTCCCATCCCTCTCCTCCCCAGGGGAAACCCTGGCCTCATCTCCTGCCAAGAGTGCTTGAGAAACCCAAGGCCCATGCTCCTCCCAGCCAAGCCCCTGACCCCTCAGGGCTGCCAGACCAGCATACAGTGGCCCCTGCCCAAGGCCCCTCCTGGCATCTCCAGTCAGTGCATCTGAGCTTCTGCCACGCTTGCCTCCTTCCGGTCTGAGCAGGAAATTGTAAGTTAATCTCTCCCACCCTCAGCTTCTTTCTCCATAGTCATGGGCATCTTGCGGGCATCTAAGTGAGATGAATACAAGGCAGATGTGATAGCGTAAGTCTGAGATCTCAGCCCTCTAGGAGGCTGAGGCAAGTAACAGCCCAGCCTGGGCAACTTAGTGACTTATCAAAACTTTGTCTCAAAATTTAAAATTTGTTTGTTTTCGGTACTGGGGATGGAACTTGGGACCTTGTGCTTAGGAGGCAGGTGGCGGAACCACTGAGCTAAATCCCCAGCTCAAAATTTAAAATGGGCTGGAGTGGGGGATTTAGCTCTGTGGTTCTGCCACCTGCCTCATAAACGCAAGGACCTGAGTTCGATCCCTGGTACCAAAAATAAATAAATAAATTGGGCTGAGGATGTAGTTGGGTGTGAAGGCCCTGCGTTCAATCCCCAGTACTGCACCAAAAAGAGAGATAAATCAGGCGAAACACTTACCATGATATCTGGCATGTAGCAGTTGCTCAAAAAGTATGAATTAGAGTCTTTATTCTGAGAAATCTGAGGACATGGTGGTACATTCGTTTAGGCCTAGCTACTCAGGAGGCTGAGGCAGGAGGATTGCTGGAGCCCAGGAGTGCAAGACCACCTGAACAATACAGTGAGACATGCATCTCAAAACGGAAAATTTGGAAAGCTTGGAAAAGTATAAAAGGCAACCAGTACCTTCCTGTCCTGTGACAGGTATCATTGTCTTTCTGCCCTTATTCATACATGTAGTCATCCACTTCCTGTGAGATGAAGTGGTGGCAAATGCACTATTTCCATCTGCTTTCCCATTTGGCCATCATCCCAGCCGGCTCAGCTGCCATAACAAGAGCACCTGACTGCAGTTCCCACACCAGACATTCACACTTTCAGCTTTGGGGCCGGAAGTGTGAGATCAGGGTGCTGGGGGGTGCGTTCTGGTGAGGGCTCTTTCCCTTATAGCTGATCCCCTCCTTCTCAGCCTGGGACTTGGAGAGTGACTTCTCCAGTGTCCCTTCTTATAAGGACACTATCCTTATGCGTGTTGGCGCACACCTGTAATCTGGCACTGAGGAGACTGAGGCAGAAGGATCACCGTGAGTGAGGTCAACCTGGGCCACATTTGATAGTGAGCTCAAGGCCCGCCTGAACCACATAGCAAGGCCTTATCTCAAAAATAAGGACACTGAAGGGCTGGGGATTTAGCCCAGTGGTTCTTGTGACTGCCTCGCAAGCTCAAGGACCTGAGTCTGATCCTCGGTACCAAAAAAAAAAGACACTGGTGCCATCATGAGCCCCGGCCATGTCCTTGTCTCACCCCGATATCCCAAAGTGCCACTGTATTGAGGGTTGGGTGACCCAGAAGGGAGGCGCCTTGAGCCATCAACCTGGATGCCAGTCTGTGGTCCCCAGAGAATGGGGACACAGCCATCCGGCTTTAGCCCAGGCCAGCCCGAGTGCCCCGTCCCCCACTTCTCCCACCGCAGGTGGCCATGGCGGGCGTCACGCTTTCTCCCCCAGTCACATTCCAGCTGCGGGCCGGCTCGGGCCCTGTGTTCCTCAGTGGCCAGGAGTGTTACGGTGAGTCCGAGCCGGGACTGGGAAGGGGCTGGGGGCGCTGTGGGCTCGGGAGAGAGGCCACCCTGGGGTCAGTGAGAGACAAAACCCCAAAGGCAACGCCTTTGCTGGTACCTGAGGTCGTGAAAGAGTCCAGAGTTCAGGACCCTTCCACCTCAGCCTCAAGAGTAACGTGTCACCAAGAATGGGGCCAGTCTTGGCATCATTAAGAGTAGTTGTATGACAAATGGTAGATTCATAAAGAGCACTTAGCACAGCACCTAGGACTCAGCAGCACTTCTACAACAGGAAATGACCCAATGCTGGCAATTTCGAACTGCCTTCGCCTGCCCCTTGTCTTCTGGCCTTGTCCCCAGCCCTTCCTCCTCCTCCCAACCACCCCTCCCGGACTCCCCAGTGCTGTGTGTGCCCCCCACCAGCAGGTGGCAGGTGAACACTTTCAACCCCATGTGGGGGTCCCCGAAGGGCGCCCAAGAAGCCCAAAGGCCTGGGATGGGAGAGGAACGTTGGGTCTGGTTCTCCCACTCCTGCCCTCGCCGGTGCCACTGCAGAATCCTTAGACCCAGCCTGGGAAGAGGAGGAGGCAGAAGAGGTGGAGGAAGAAGAGGTAGAGGAAGAGGAGGACGAGGACCCAGAGGAGGAGGTGTCCATAGAGGAGAGTCCGGTCAAACGACTCAAAAGGCCGGTGCCGGGGAAGCAGAGCAGCACTGCCAAGGTGGGGGAAAGAACAGGCTGCCTGAAGTATCTGGGAGCTGCACAGCAGCAGGGGATGGACAGATCAGCACCTGGAGCCTGGGCCAGGCTTCACATTGGGCATGTGGGGTGGGCCAAGGCCATGGCCTCCAAGTCCTGCCCTGAGGGCTGGCTGGGAGCACATGAGTAGGGCTTGGGAATCTCTTCTGGCCTAGGCCTCACCCTTCTACTAATGCCTGGCCTTTTGGTTCCCAGAAAAAAAAGGTTGAAAAAGATGAGGAGGCTTCAAGGTAACTCTATCTTTAAAAAAAAAAAAAAAAGTTGTGTGTGTGTGTGTGTGTGTGTGTGTGCACGCGCTATTGGAGATTGAACCCAGGAAGAATTAAGCTACATCCCAACCCCTTTAATTTTTTATTTATTTTTGTCTTTGAGATAGGTCTTGCTATATAGTCTAGGCTGGGCTTGAACTCACTGTGTAGCCTAGGCCAGCCTTGAATTCCCTGCAATCCTCTTGCCTCAGTTTCTCAAGTGCTAGGATTACTTGGCCACTACACCCAGCACTGAACTTTTTATTTTGAGACAGGTCTTGCTAAATTGCTCATACTGGCCTTCAACCTGCGACCCTCTTACCTCAGCCTCTGAATAGCTGAGTTTTCAGCCTTGCTCCACCAAGCCCAGTGAGATCCATAGTGCTAGAAAGACCAGTACACACACAGATATTACAGCACTGGAGGTTGGCATAACCTTAAAGCACAAAAATGTTTTTCTCTGACCTAATTCAGTTAGGCAATCTCTTCCAAAGAATGAGGTAAGGGAGATTATCGCAGTACCTTGATTTAGGAACTAATTTGTTCCATCACTTTGGAATAGATGGCCACGTTTGTGTTTATGCAGAAAAGATAGCCACCGTTGTGTTCATCAACTGATGCAGTTTGCAAACAAAAACCAAATTTTGCCAAGCGCTTTGTTTGCATGTAGGAACCAAGATGCCACTGTATATACACTAGGAAATACATGACATTGTCCAAGGCCTTAGATCCCACCCTCAATGCGGGCTGGGGGGGGGGAAGTGAAGCCAACAGGGCTGGTGGCCCATGCCTGTAATCCCAGCAGTCTGGAGGCTGAGGCAGGAGGATGGCCATTAGTTGGAGGCCAGCCTGGGTCACATAGTTGGGTCTCAAAAAAAAAGAAAAAAAAAATACAAAACAGGGGCTGGGGATTTAGCTCAGTGGTTCCAGCGCCTGCCTCACAAGCGCAAGGGCCCGAGTTTGATCCCCGGTACCAAAATGGCCCTGATAGTGACCAGGAAGACAGATAAGCCCCACAGCTTCCGTCTCTAGAGCTGGGCCCTGCCACCACAGGACTGACTGGGCCCAGCAACTCCTACCCCTGAAGCACTAGGGGCACCCACTTCTGGCTTCAGGCTGAGCCCTCTCTTTTGCGTAGGTGCAGTATATACAAGACTCCGAAAAAGGTGAGCAGGAGCGCAGGGGCGGTGCGGGGCTCTGGGGAGACAGGACAGGAACAGAGAAGTCCCTTGTCCCCACAGAACAAATCCTCAGGACCACCTAGGAAGCTGGAGGTCAAGAAGAGAGCTACCAGCAATACCCCGTGATCCAGGGAGGCCTCTTCCTCCAGCTGTGCTTTGCAGCGACCCCACCCCTCCACCTGAGCCCGAATGTGGCCTGGTGTGGTTGTCACATGGGAACCCTGAACCCCCAGGCCCCAGGGTCAGAAGACCCCGCAGCGAAGAGCCCTGGCCAGCTGCGTAGGGCCGCAATAAAGTTTATTTTGTCTTGCACTCTCCGCCTCTTCCCTGAAGCCGGCAGAGGGCGCCGGAGAGCCAGCGCGACGGCCACACGCCCCTCACGACCCCGCCCCCAGCACCGAGCCCAGGGGGTGCAGATGTTGGTTGCTGGCTTTCTTCCCCTCTCTGGTTACTCCTCCTCCTACCTGTAAAGGGCCTTAGTTGTCATGTGCGGGTATCATCGGGACCCACCCAGGTTTCCTGTGTTAAGGTGCTGACCCCATGTGCCAGCCAAGTGCTTGGTGAGTCCAACAGACACCGAATGCTGAGCACCTTCGGGCTCTGACCTCTCACCCTCTGCAGGCCAACGGAGTTGCTTTGGAGCCCCAGTCACCAGTGGGTGACCCTGGCTTGGGCCCTGGCCCAGGCAGGCAGCAGATGGCCCCCCACTGGCGGCTACTCTGTGCAGTGCTGTCTCCCTCCCAGACCCCAGGTGAGGTCTTCAGTCTCCTGGCCAGCTCCCCGGCGCCTGCTAGGCAACTGGAGCTCACTGAGCCTGACTTCCACCACGGCCATACAGGGCAGGTGAAATCAGTGCCTCACCTGCTGTCCAAGGGAAACTCAACCAGCGCAGAAACTTCAGTTACCCTCCGGTGCTTTGGGAGGTAGAACAGGCTCATGTCCCAGTGGGAAAGGCTGTTTGGTGAGGGGTCCCTGGAGCAGGCAGCTGACCAGCAGGGGCGGGGCTGGCGGAAGAGGCTTCTAGGGGAACTCCAACGTCATTGCAGCAATAGCTGATGATACCACAGAAACACCACCCAATCCTTTAATCCCCACAGCCCCACCTTGAGGGCAGCGGTATCAGCCCCATTTCTCAAATGAAGTTTCGAAGTTTGAGGCACCAAGAGTTTAAGCAATTTGTCCCAAGACTGCATGAGGAAGGAAACTAAGTAGTCTGACCCTTTTGGAGGGGTGGGTTGGGTTGAACCTACCAGAGTCTCACATCAAACTGTATCACCAGCCCCTCTCTCATCTTGAGACAGGGTCTCACTAGGTCATTAAGTTTCTCAGAATGGGCTCAAATGTTCAAACTTCCTGCCTCAGCTTCCTGGACTGCCTGGATTATAGGCATTCTCCACCATGCCAGCTATGACTTCAGAGCTCTTGCATCTGATCACTGTGCAGGGAGAGTTGGGCTAGAGGACACAGAAGCCTCCTAAACTGAAGGCAGGAGTTAGAATGTTCACCCAACTGTATTAGGGGAGTGCAGAGCGGCAGTGCTAGCCAAGCAAGGACCTCCCGTTCCCAGCCAAGTGCAGAATCCACTGTCATGGGTAAACCCTGCTCATCTGATTTGGGGCGGGTTCTGGGGATCCGTCTCAGGACCTTACACGTTTACAAGGCAGGCAGCTGCACCACTAAGCTAAATCCCCAGCCCTGCTTGTCTGATTTTGATCTTCAGGCAACCAGTAGGGATCAAACAGCACCGTAGCCCGGTGCCCTTCCCCTGCCCAAACCCTTGGCGTTTCAACAGGAAAAGGGCTGGTGGAGCCAAAGCAGGTGGTGACAAGTGGCAGGTCCGCAGGTGGGCTCTGCGGTGAGGGTCTGTTAGGAGGAGCAGGCGAGAGACAGACCCAGTTGGGGGGGTGAACTTGGCACCAGGGGGTGGGGATTAGCAGCAGCAGCCTGTCCACTTCTCACTTCCCTCACCTCGGCAACTTCCCCCAGTTAATTCATGAGCCCTCCCCATCCCAGCTCCCTCGGGTGTAGGGTGTAGCTGAACCCTCTGGGGTCCTCTCCAAGCCTTTCATATTTCTCCCTGGGTCCTCTAAGTTGACATTTCTTGTGGCAGTTTTGACAGCATCAGCAGTAGCCGTTTCCTTTTTCTGGGTTAAGGACCAGAGGAGTGAAGGGACTTGCCGCAGGTCACACAGTCTGTGCATTCCCTGCCATCCCACACACACTTGGAGCCCACTGCTGGCTCTCCCATGGGGACAAAGGCAAAAAGCCAAGAGAGGCAGGTCTACAGCGGGTGGGAAGAGACAGGGAGCCAAAGATACCCATCCCTGAAGCAGGCTATCCTGCCATGCCCCAGAGCCCCTAGCACCAGCCCCTGGCAGATCCCCAAGGCCGAGCTTGACTGCTGGCATCTGTTACCATGGAGATCCAGGCTGGCCAGTGACAGCTGGCCCTGTCCCCAGCAACGGGAACCAGAAGCTCAGGCTCAGAGGCCTTGGGCACTACTGAATGCCCCCCTGGTGAATGAACCCCGATGCCCACCTTCCACCCCCAGCTCACTCCTCTACCATGGAAGCCAAGGTCTGAGTTGTCCGCTCTGACTTGTGACCCCATGTGACTCTAAGCAAGGTTGCGGGGAGGTCCCAGCCTGTCTGGGAGCTGATGGGGAAAGGCTAGGAAGTCAAAGTTTTCCCAAAGCATTAAGCCTGGATGCAGATGTAGAGATGGGGGAAACTTCCCAAAGATGCGGAGATTAAAGCGGGCCTCAGATAGAGGGGAAAAGTACAAAGATGGAAATGGCCAGGAGGATCAGTGTAGGCTGAGAGGTGGGACAGGGAGGATCATGTTTGGAGAAGAGAGAACTGTTCTGGGTGGCCGTGCACTGGGACATGGAGCCGGGCCACTGAGCAGCTGTGAGCTGGGGGGCGACTCCTCTGCCCTATCCGGGTGTCACCAGTGCACGGACATGGTTGAGCCAGTTGAGGAGACCTGAGAGTCCCTCCAGTCTTGACATCCTCCGAATCTGATTCCAAAGCCCTGGACTCCCACAGTTCCTTGGGGAGGGGCTCACACCACCTGATGCAAACCAGCTCAGGCAGCTCACTCTGGGCAGAGCTGGACAGAGCCCCCACCCCCACCCCCACCCCCAGTCACCTGTGCTGCTGTGTGTGAGACCCGGGTGGCAGACCACTTTGTGGATTGATGGAGCTCAGGAAGGTGAGAGTTTCACCTCCCAGTCAGCTGTTAGGTAAATAAGTCTATATCCGGGCGTTTCCAGGGCCCAGGACACTACGATCTCCAGGGAGCCAGAGCCTTCCCTCAGAGGCCCTAAACACCTACCCTTCTTCAGGGAGGGAACAGAGGAGAGCTCCCCAGCCCCAGCTTCTCTGACGATAAGGAGGGCAAGGCCACCATCAGTGTGGAAACCTGCTTATCACACCCCCACACACCCCCTGCCTCATTTTGAGCAAATCACCTAGCAGCACGCCTCAGTTTCCTCACCTGTATAGTGATCGCCGGCTCAGTACAGAGCGAAGTAGACCTGGAGGTCAAGTTTGGAGGCTGCCAGCCCTGCATTCCCAGGCAGGGGAAACAGGGTGGCCTGAGGGGCTGGTGAATGGAGCTAGGTCAAAGTCCAAAGATCAAGAGGTCTTGAACAGATGACAGATTCTGAGCCTGCTAAATACTGTGTCTCCTTCTGTCCCCCAACACCCTGAGGTATCCCTGTCCCTGTTTCTCAGAGGGAGCTGCAGAGGCCCTAAGGAAGCTTCTCACAAGCGTCTCACAAGTCTCCTGCCGAGACCCCCAGGCGAACCTTCCTCCCCACCTCTGGCCCCAACGGTTGCACCCATTTATTAGCTGCCAGGCAGAGCAGCTTTAACCCCTCCTTCCCGGTGGCAAGGGGTGAGGAGAGGCAGCTCCGGCGGCTGCTCAAGCTAAGCCCACCCCTGCCCCCTGGAGGGAAGCTCCTCCTTTTAAGGCTGCTTCTGGGAATTCCCACCCCGAGCCAGAACCCTCGACCCCAGCCCCGCTCGGTACCTGCGGCTCAGCCTTGAAGAGATGGGGCGCCGGACCTGAGGGCCGGAGCAGCCGACCCTGGAAGAGGGACAGTGCCCTCCTCCCTCCTCCTGCCGGCCACACACCCTGCACTGCGGCCCGGCAGGTCTGTGAGGGTCAGGAATAAAAAACGGGAGCCCGCGGGGGCAGCCGAGCACTGAGAGAGCTCCTGCGGCTCTGTCCCCTTGCCTGGGCAGCCCAGCCGAGACTGGCAGCCCAGAGGGCCCAGGCACCAGCCCTACCAGCATCGGCTTTTGCAGCCTCACTGGCCAGGAAGGTGGACACCTCACACCTCAGTCTCCCAATTGCGCCTCCTCCCCTCCTTACTCCTTTCCCCCCTGAAAACCTGTGGCTCTGAGAGAGAGACCTTGGCTCCTCTGGGACTCTACCCTCGGGGCCAGCTCACATCTGCTCCTGAGTTTGGGGCAGGGGGGCAACCACCCCAAGAAGTCTCTCCAGCGATGGGAGCCGCCCGCCTGCTGCCCAACCTCACGGTGTAAGTGGCCCCCTCACATGGACTGGGCTGCAGGTCCAGCCCCGGGGCAGCCCTGCCTCCTCCCTGGGATTCCCATCCAGGTTGGCAGGTGGGGCAGGGCGGGGCAGAGGTGGGGGCCTGGGTGTGCCCCTGAGTGGGCCGAGGGCACCCATACCGGGGCCTGCTTCGTCTCCCCACACAGGTGCCTGCAGCTGTTGATTCTCTGCTGCCAGACGCAGGTAGGCGCCCCCTGCCCAGCCCCTCCCTATCCTTCCCTGGGAGAGGAAACAGGTTGATGCTGGACACTCCCGGTCCAGGAGGGGCTGAGGTCTGCAGGGTCACCTTTCTGGGGCTGGCTGGAGAGGGACTGAGGCAAGCAGGCCTCCCTCTGACCGCCCTCCCCACTGCCCCTGGGTCCTGCTGCTCTCTCCATCCCTGCACACTGGGCTCCTACAGGCTAAGTGCATGGGGCCCTCCAGACCTGGAGCAGTTGGAATCAGTTGGAGGTGACAGCCAGGTGAGGCTGGTGCCTGGGACTACCTGAAAGGGCAGGTTTGGACGTGCAGACATTCGGGGGTCCACTCACCACCTGCCTGCATAGGCAGCAAGGGATGCCCAGACAGGGTGAGGTGACTTTTACCTACAGGGCAGTGAGGTCAAGACCAAAGGGGTCTGTGTGGGACTCACTCAGGGTTTGCTTCTCCACACACCCCCAGCTCACGTCTGCCCCCCTAAGAACACCTCCCGCCCCCAATCTTCAGCCCCCTGTGCGACAGGGCTCGGTCCTTTTTTTTTTTTTTTTTTGTGATACTCCGTAAAAGTGCAGCTATTAAAATGCACTGGCCCAGAACCGCTCTGGGGAGAGATCGCCTGGTTTTCCCAGGCTAGAGGCCTGTGTGTCTTCCTATCCAGTGGGGGCTTCTTTTTAAGGTAAATGCCTTTTCTCTGGGAGAAGGCAAGGGCTGCCTTTGAAGCAGTAGGGGGGTGGGACAGAGAGAGAACACCCCCCTTTTCCGTCCCCCTTTTGCTCTAGCCCCGTTCCAGCCCTTTTGCTTCACACATCCAGAGAGAGCAAGAAGAAAGCCCCCAGCCTGGCTGGGAGGGGGCTGGGGGTGGGCCCAACCTGTTCTGGAAGGGGAATTAGCACAATGGTGTGGCTGGCCCAGCGTTTATGGCCTGGCTGAGGCCCCATTCAGGACTTGGGGAAGGTGGCAAGGCTGTCCTTTCCCCCTTGAAGTGCCCCCTCACCCCCTAGGCGGGGGTGGGGGGCAGCAGGCTGAACCTCAGCCATGCTTGAGGGGCTGCCTGACAAGCAGCTGTCTGCGGTGGTGGAAGGGGAGGTGCCCCTGCGGCGGAACATGAAAGGCACAGGCAAGGTCCCTCTGGGAGAGGGACTTGTGGGCTGTGGGCTGGGGAGGGGGGCGTGGGCTGCTTTTGTGAAAGGCTTGAAGCTGAGGAGAGGAGGGGGCTTCGGGGGGGCCCTCTCTGCCCCTGACCTGAGCAGATTGCCAGGAGGGAGCTGCCCGCCCAGAGAGGTGGAGGGCCTGAACCTGGGCCAGGAGGCTTTCGGCTGGGGCGGCAGGTCCTCGTCCCTGGCAGGGAGGCCATCAGGGCCAGCAGGTCCTCCACCCCATTGCCTCAGGTTTTTCCAGGGTGGGGTGGAGGGTGGGTTTGAAAGACGCTGCTGTCCTCATGGGGCCCCTGCAGCACTCCCGGCCTTTGGGTGCTGGCTCTGGGGCTGGGCAGTAACACTGGGCAGGTTAACCCTTCCTGCTTTCTTCCCCACTCCCTCCCCAAAGGCGGTGCTTCTCAGCCTTCTCGCTAGGATGGGGTGGCCCTCACCAGAAGCCTGGCTCTGTCCAGATGGTTGGGATCGGGCCTGGGATAAAGATGGCATTAAGGACTAAGGACAGGTTGTCCTCACACAGCCCGCAGGATCCAGGTGGAAAGAGAAACTATAATGAAGTCCATTTCTGAGCTAGAGGGGAGGCTGTTGCCAACAACTGGGAACCATCATCTTGGCAGGCACCTTGGGAGAGACAGAGGGTGGAAAGAAGGCTTCTCCTCCCCTGCTCAGTGTTAGGAGGGTGAAGGGAGGCCCAGTGGAAACCATGCTGGTCCTGGCACACTGCAGGGTAGAAACAGTGGGAATCCAAAGGCCCAGCACTGCCTGTCCGCTGAGACTAAAACACAGGCCAGCAGGTGGCTCTGTGACTCAGCAGCCATTGGCCCCACGGATAGCACCTCCCATTGCTACGTCCACTGCAGAGGAGGTGGCAGAGGAGCGAGCAGCCCAGGGAGGGAGATTGGCTCCTGAGACCCAGGGCACCCCAGGCGAGAGGCAGGGAAGGATTGCAAAGAAATGCTTGCAGAGACTTATAGAACCTTGAGGATAAGGACCTAAGAGAACCCAAAATGTTCTCCAGTGCTCCTCCCTCAGAGAGCCTGGCAGACCATCTGCTGTGTGTACAAGAGCTGGGGCTGAGGTCTTTCAAGGCCAGGGGGAGGATCAAGGAGAAAGCCATGGTTTCAGCTAAGGGTGCCTTTGCAGGACCGCAGGGAGGGGTTCTGTCCCTGGTGAGCTGTGTCCCTTCACAGAGCAGGAGAGCATAGGGATCAAACACTACAACCCTGCAGGTCCCTTCCAGCTCCCTGAGTTATTATTCCAGGTCTCACAGCATCCCCAAGCCTGGAAGGGCTGTGGCCAGATGCCACCCTCCCTGTGCACCTTCTGGTCTGCAGGACCTGGGCCTGCACCCCTGCGCTCACCTTCGCCCCCTTTCCCCCGATGGACCAGCCATGGTGTCGCCCAAAGCAAATTGACATTATTTTTCCCTTGGTAACCGCAAAGGGGGAGAATCACCCGTCTCCTAATTTTAACCAGTACGTGAGGGACCAGGGTGCCATGACCGACCAGCTGAGCAGGCGGCAGATCCGCGAGTACCAGCTCTACAGTCGGACCAGCGGCAAGCACGTGCAGGTCACCGGGCGTCGCATCTCTGCCACTGCCGAGGATGGCAACAAGTTTGGTGAGACCTGGCCCTCACCTCTGGCTACCCTGGACCAAACTCATCCCCACACAGGGCTGAGGCTGCAGTGGGAGAGAGGAACAAAGGTGCCCAAGGGGCTGCAGGCTGGGAGCCTGACCACTGCCAGAGCCTGGAAGTCAGACTGGCTGTGGGGATTCCCCGGCCGCAGCCCTGACAGAAGAGGTCTTTGTCCCTTTGCATCACAGCCAAGCTCATAGTGGAGACGGACACATTTGGCAGCCGGGTGCGCATCAAGGGGGCAGAGAGCGAGAAGTACATCTGTATGAACAAGAAAGGCAAGCTCATCGGGAAGGTGAGGCCAAGGCCCAGCAGGCCACAGCGCAGCAGGCTGGGGGTCTGTCCTACGGGGTGGGGCAGACAGGGCCACAACTCACCCACTCTCTCTGCTGGGCCCAGCCCACCTGGGGAGAAGCAGGGGCTTTCACAGGGCCAGGATTCTTAGTCTCTTTTCTGCCCTCCTACTCCTTGGTTTCTTTTTTTTTTTTTCCCTCCCAGTACCGTGGGCTTTCACAGGGCCAGGATTCTTAGTCTCTTTTCTGCCCTCCTTCTCCTTGGTTTCTTTTTTTTTTTTTCCCTCCCCCAGTACTGGGAATCAAACTCAGGACCTTGTGCTTGCCTGGTAGGCGAGGCGAGGCACCACTGAGCTACATCCCCAGCCCAGGTTTCTCCATTTAAATGTGCAGCAATCAGAAAGAATTCTAGCACCAAAGAGATGTTGCAGCCCCTGTCAAAGAGGGCTAAGGACTAACAAGATTGAAATCTGGCACAGTGCCGGATGTGGTGGCCTTTGAGGAGTTAACCTCTCCACCTCACTTGTTGGTGTCCCTAAGGGAGCAAACTGCTGGTCAGTGTGAAGTTCAGTCAGGACATGTGGAAGTCCCCAGCCCAGCCAAGTGTGGCAGCTCATACCTGTAATCCTATCACTCGGGAGACTGAGGCAGGAGGATCACTTCAAGTTTGAGGCCAGCCTGGGCTATATAGCGAGTTAAGGACAGCCTGAACTGCCTAATAAGACCCTGTCTCAAAAAAACAAAATAAAAAAACAAAAGCAGGACTGGGGATTTAGCTCAGTGGTTCTACCACCTGCCTCACAAGTTCCCTGAGTTACTATTCTGCAAGGACCCAAGTTTGATCCCTGGTACAAAACAAAACAAAAAATGGCACATTGATGCACACCTGTAATCCTAGCTATTCTGGAGGCAGAGGCAGGAGGATCGAAAGTTTCAGTCCAGTCTTGGCAACTTAGCAAGACCTTATCTCAAAATAAAAAAATAACAAGAGGTGGGACTGTAGCTAGCATGCATGAGGCCCTGATTCACTCTCCAGTCATTACAACACACACACACACACACACACACACACACACTGAAACCCCACCACCTGCTCCAAAAGCACTTGCAGTGGGCCCTGCACTGGGCCACACCCTCACCCAGATGCTTGCATATACCAGGTGTGCCAGGCTCTGCACCGAAACATATATTACCTTGATCTTTATGCTACATCTCAGGAGCCTGAGATTCACTGGACACAGCTGCCTAATGACAAGTCTGCACATAGCTTGTCAAAGCTTGGCTTTCCCACCTCTGCCTTGTCCCTGACCCCAGGCAGCTCCTTGAGCTCACTGATTCCACTGTCCTGTGGCTCCTACAAAACAGGCCCAAAGCCAGAGAGCTCCTTCAAAGGACAGACAAACTCCCTTCCTCTCCTCCTTCCCCCTGCAGCCCAGTGGGAAGAGCAAGGATTGCGTGTTCACAGAGATCGTGCTGGAGAACAACTACACAGCCTTCCAGAACGCCCGGCACGAAGGCTGGTTCATGGCCTTCACGCGGCAGGGGCGGCCCCGCCAGGCCTCCCGAAGCCGCCAGAACCAACGAGAAGCTCACTTCATCAAGCGCCTCTACCAGGGCCAGCTGCCTTTCCCCAACCACGCGGAGAGGCAGAAGCAATTCGAGTTTGTGGGCTCGGCCCCCACCGGCAGGACCAAGCGCACTCGGGGGCCGCAGCCCCTCACGTAGTGGCCAGCGGGGAGGCCGGGCCAGCTGCCTTCCCAGCCCTTCCCTTCCTGATCCAAAGACTGGGCTGGGGTGGAGGGAGGGGAGTCAGACACCCCTGCAAGGACCCTGAGGACACAAAGCACCAGAGCCCCAGCTGGTGAGGGACAGGACTGCTCACCCTGGGCTGGCAACACACACTGGAATAGGCCCTCTCCTGCCGGCAAGGGGCCAACCTGGGGACAGGAGCCATTGCCACCCTGATCTCAAACTCCAGCCTCCCTCCAGGCTGTCTGGCTGGCCTAAAGAGCTGGACCGGTCAGCAGATTCGAGGCCTTGCAGACACCATCTGCAGGTGTCTGTCCTCTAATCCTGATCCCCAAATCTCCCTGTCTGTCCCCAGGGCCCAAACTACTCCAGGCCAGATACACCTAGGAAGGGACTTTTTGTTTTGATTCCAGAAAACGACAAAAAACAAAAGGGCTGGCCATTCCCCACGTTCCACGACCCGGGCCCGCACTCCCACCCCAAGCCCCGAATAAAACCATTTTCCGGCAAACGGGTAATCTGAAGCTGGGTGGGCGACGGACGCCCGAAGTGGAAAACTGGATTGCGGGTGCCAAGGGGCCCTGGGACGTTCCGCGCACGGACTGTGAGCGGCGGAGGGGCCTCGGGCCAGGCGGG